GACAAACAAACTTGAAAAGAACCTTCCTGGAAGTCGAAAGATTGGGCCTGCTGTGAAGCCTGATTGAAACTGCTCTAAGTCAATATTCTGGAGCGTACGAAATGAAGACGCCAGCCGCCAGCTCTACCATCGTTAAAATTCATAGTGCCATGATTCGTCCTCTTTCGTCATATCACTCACATGAAGAGGGGATTCGCATTATAACCCATTCGCCATACCTTATTCACTGCATATACTCTTTCTGTAACTAATAATGCTGCTCCTGTATTATATTTCAATGATTCCTACCGGATTTACACGGTGAAAACCCATCATCCTCCCTCCACTTCAACTCACCTATAGGGACCACTGGAGCAACCCACGGCTCCATGGTACTTAGCCATCTGAAGCGCATCTCTGAGTCGGTCTGAATAGCGAAATGTTCGACCAGCAACAAGATTTTCCCCTGTCCGTGAGCATAGACAAAATTAGATGTGACATGGCCCCTATGTTCAGGGGGGGTTACCGCGATTGACAGCTTTCTAACTCCGCCGGAATATATTTAGATTTCAATTACTCATACATGATTTACACGCCCAAGTTCATTGCTCCCTTCTTTCTAGCCGTCTATGATGTCCGTTTAAGCAGATCACGGCTCTATTGAATTTAACCGCATGCAGTGTTTATGCAACGCGATGAACTTAGCTGTTTGAAGCGAATTTCTCGTTTCACCGCTTGCAGGCCTTTCTTCCGCTCCGCAGCCTTCACTTAATTAAATTTCCCTCGAAATTTTGTAGTCAGTTTCATATCTGTTTGCACAATGCAGCGTACACGTTGTCCGTTTTTTATTTGGCCTTCAGTTTGGCTCTTCTACACATCAGCTGAATTGTCGAACGGTAGATGTACTGGTTTATCATTGATTTGGCTGTTCGGTCTCCTGTTCTAAAAGTCGTCTTAGTAGCATTCAGAAAATGGTCATAATCCGCACCTATGTCTTCCTATTGTCCATCTCAAGAATCATGAATTCTAGCTTTTCTGCGAAAGCCTCCTGGTCACATTTTAGTCCTGCACACAGCAGTGATCTATGGGCTTTTTGATGCGTTCTTCCTTTGCAACGTTAGTCATAATGGTCGAATCCAAAATTCAGTGGTCTGACGCTGTAACGATGATGTTCACCTGTGATCGACACATCGCATGTTATTCGCTTTTCGTGTGCCAAAGAGAAACAGTCGATTTTGTCCAATTACTTTCAATCTGTTCTTCTGCATGTGCACCGCGGTGTTGAAGTTTCCTGGACAACAGTTTTCATGCCGTGGAGGTGGTTGCTTCCAGAGGAAGTTACGAAGTGATCGTCTTTTCTGTATGTTGCTCCTTTTTTCTGACCACTGCGTTGAATTCTCCTTGGGCAATCTTGTAATTAGTCTTCTGCACCATTGCTCTTTCAAAATCCTCATAGAATCTTTCGATCTTTTCATCTTCAGCTTATTCGATGAACTATAAGCTTAGATTATTTTTTATTAATTTTATTTTGTCCATTTGCAGAAGTAGAATTACTGTATGAG